GGGGGGGGGGGGGATCCTGCAACTGCATAACGGGCTCAGAAAGAAATTCAGAAAGGATCCTCCTTAACTTATCAGGCTGTAAAAAGAGACAGTGGGAGATTTGTACTTTCAGACTTGCAAGATCCTGTTAATGTAGCCTTGCAATGAAGTAGAATTAGCTCATCTTGTTGTGTTTCCTACTTGGTCTATCTGGGAAGCCTGACATCAATCTTGCAAGTCTCAAAGTACAAATCTCCCGCTGTCTCTTTTTAAGTCTACCCTTAAGCACAGGAATATATCGGGTGACTGGGCCAGTCATCCGCTCCCAACCCAGTCTTCCTGTCAGGAAGAGCTGTTGTAGGAATAAAAATGAGGGAGTTCCCCATGGAAGCTGTAAGGCAATATATAATCCTAACAAATCCTATTGTTGTATCTGTTGTTCAAATCTTTTTCTTTGCTGCAGTCATCTATCTAGGCCTTAAAAATTTTAGTCAGCTAAGTATTTACCAACTTACATTGGTTGCCTTACCACCCTAAAATGTGTGAGAGAGGTCATTAAGTTGGAATATTGCCTCTGGGCTTTGGGTCAGCAGACAAAGCAGATCTCGCAGGGCACCTAGATGTTGCTGTTTTGAAATGCCAGAACCAATTTCACCAGCTTATAGCCATGGAAATGTGAAGGCAGTGGACCTGACCTTTAATTTTGGCAATTGGTGATCCAGTACACTCACTGGGTAGTGTTCCTTATTTGCCTGATGGCAGCCAAAGGCCAATTTGTTGTGTTGTGGGTATATTCATATTTCACGGAGTGCAGTTGCAAACAATTGTTAATAATTCAGGTCACCAAGTCTTAAATTTCTTAGATGCTTTTCTTTTCGTTTACTGACAGTTTTAAGTAGAGGAGCATATTATTCCTGTCAGTGAAGTCAGTTAGCTCCATTAATCACTGCATTGTGTAACCTCTTAAGAAACTGAAAAGAAAATAATTCTGCCATTTGATTTTTGTTTCTTTACGCACTTAGCTTCTCGCTTGTTTGATTTCACAGAATCAAGTAAAGAACAGTTTGCCTACACAAATATTGCAGAAGAACTCGTGAAGCTCTTTAAAAAGCAAATAGAACATGATAAGAAGGAGATGATTTTTGAAGTTTTGGCTCCTTTGGCTGAAAACGGTGAGACTTTTGAGTACCAGTTTTATTTCTGAGTGACCTGTTGATATTTGCCTAAGTTGTACTTCTTGTTTGTGAAGCTGGTTGGTAAGGCACCTCACTATCAAAGCTGTAACAGCCTATTTTTATTTAGCTGAATAAAATGAATGCACATACACACAGATAAACATCTTAAATCAGTGACTTAAGGAAAAAAGGATGGATATAACATTTGTCATGCAGTAGAAATGGTTTTTGTATAGTCACATATATGAGATTGAAAGAACTCTTAAACTTAAATTTGTAGGGCTTGCTTTATCTTAAATTTAGGAAGTTGGATGTAATCAGTCCTGTTAACAATGAATCTTAATTTTATCAAGTTTTATAGGACTGAAGTCTTACTTATTCAGTAATTCCTTTTGTTTACTTTGTTGATCAATACCATTTATTTCCAGAAAAGATTGAAAAGTAGACAGTACAATTGATAATTTACATATAAAAGCTTTCTGTTGTTAATTTTATTTATCCCTGTTGAAGAAAGAATCTAGACTAAGATGTGGTAATCTAGCATATGGCCTACCACACATGGTAATTTGGATTGCTTTCCTCAGAAATCAGAATTTTAACCACACATTTGGTATGAAGGCATTTTCTGAAATGATATTCAAATAGTTGGGGAAGCAGAAATTAGGCAAAGATTTAGTGGGCAGAAGCTTCAGGAAGATAGACTTCAGTTGAATACTAGAACAGTATTGTGTGTAAAAGCTGTTTGAAAAGAGCAATCTGTTACTGAAAGTGATAATGGACTTTTCCTGTTTGGGTATCTTCAGGTTGAGGGTAAACAGCCACCTAGTGAAAGCATTCAGTATTTCCTGTATTAAGCAAGGTGTTTGACCAGACAGCTATCAGATTTTTTCCAGTCCTATGGTTCTATGGAAAAGAGCGCAATTTAGTGTATGGATCCCTTGTTGATTGATCAATTGATCAATTAATTGATTTTAAAAGACTTCTATACAGTGGGGCAAAAAAGTATTTAGTCAGCCACCAATTGTGCAAGTTCTCCCACTTAAAAAGATGAGAGAGGCCTGTAATTTTCATCATAGGTATACCTCAACTATGAGAGACAAAATGGGGGAAAAAATCCGGAAAATCACATTGTCTGATTTTTAAAGAATTTATTTGCAAATCATGGTGGAAAATAAGTATTTGGTCAATATCAAAAGTTCATCTCAATACCTCTCATAGTTGAGGTATACCTATGATGAAAATTACAGGCCTCTCTCATAGTTGAGGTATACCTATGATGAAAATTACAGGCCTCTCTCATAGTTGAGGTATACCTATGATGAAAATTACAGGCCTCTCTCATAGTTGAGGTATACCTATGATGAAAATTACAGGCCTCTCTCATAGTTGAGGTATACCTATGATGAAAATTACAGGCCTCTCTCATAGTTGAGGTATACCTATGATGAAAATTACAGGCCTCTCTCATAGTTGAGGTATACCTATGATGAAAATTACAGGCCTCTCTCATAGTTGAGGTATACCTATGATGAAAATTACAGGCCTCTCTCATAGTTGAGGTATACCTATGATGAAAATTACAGGCCTCTCTCATAGTTGAGGTATACCTATGATGAAAATTACAGGCCTCTCTCATAGTTGAGGTATACCTATGATGAAAATTACAGGCCTCTCTCATCTTTTTAAGTGGGAGAACTGGCACAATTGGTGGCTGATTAAATACTTTTTTGTCCCACTGTAGCTACCCATATTGTAACCAAAACGACATCAGGCTTGGGCGACAACGTCAGGCTCGAGTGACAAGCCAGTCAGCTAATTTCCTGTCTCAACCAATGGATCACCATTTAGTTGATATGAAAAAAGTGGACCCTGCACCTGCAGGAAGATGCTAGGAAGGGGAAAAAAATTGTAACCAAAACTCTGGGCAGCTCACAAAAAAGTAAAAACAACAAAATCCCCCAAAACCAGAATGAAAACTCAATAAAAACTTGATCCATTCACCATATGATAGGTGTAGACAGTCTTAAGCCCCAGATCTCTTCATGGGTCCCTGTTCCCCTTTCTTATGGGTCCCAGATTCCTCTTCTACCACAATTGCCAGTAGTTCAGTAGTACAGTTTGAGATGGAAAATACAAAAAACAATAAAGGCTAAAATTGGCTTAATATTTTAAAAAGTTAGGGCTTTAAAAAAAAAAGTTTTTAAAATTTCTCTCCCAGTCCCAGAAAAATAGAAAATCTTGGCCTCTGTGCTTCCAAGACCTGCTGTTCCACAGGGTAGAAGTGTGTGAATTTGTTTTGAGTGAATTTGTTCTTGAATAGTATGACTGATGGAGCTCAGTGAGCCAAATAAAACAGGGGGAAATTATTTACTTGGTATTGATTTCTCAGGTACTTGACATTCAGTACTTGTATCTATAGAAAGTAGGAAGATGCCCAGAACATCTGTTTCTGTTTGTTTGTATCATCGTATTTCATCCAGGATGCATTTACATTATTAAAAGGTATCTTGAGGGGGAGCTTTAATAAAACAATACTTATTTTGAAAACTCAAACAATAACTGCAAAAGCATTTAACAGAAAAATAAAATCTGTAGCTACTTCTGGGAATCTTCTACGATTGATTGTCCCCATAATATCTGTAAGTTGGCAATGGAGATCAGGTGTTTCCTTAACTGAAGTAGTAGTATCTCTGGCAGTATATGGCATAATATATATATTCTTCATTCCAACTACTCAGCTGCACTCATTTTATTTTTAAAGAGCTTTAAGCAGTATCCAAATAAAGTAAATTAATAAATAGTGTCTGCACTGATATTGTAGTGAAAACATGTTGGTTCATGAGCATGTTATGATTTTGTCATTCATTATCTAGATATCATTAAACTGCAACTGGTTGAAGCAGGCCTTGTAGAGTGTTTACTTGAAATAGTCCAAAAGACTGTAGATAGCGACAAGGAAGATGACATTACTGAGCTTAAAACTGCTTCTGATCTTATGGTTCTTCTACTGTTGGGAGGTAAGTTTGGGTGTGGGTCACCCCATCCCATATTAGAGAATTCTGACATCACCCATTGTACATGTGATTTATTCTTAATATCAGTTTACCCTGCTGGCTATTACATTTCAGTGTTGGGGCCAAATCAGGTGAGTGCAGAGTAGCAGAAAAATATGAAAACCTAACATTTCTTCCACCCCCAACAAACACATACAGGCTCACTGTTTTTGGTAAACCAGTTTTCCTTACATGAGGGCCAAACCTACTGGTTTTATTTACATTAGTCAAAATGATGGTTATCATAGTTTTCTACTTAAAAACAATTCAGAGATGCTATTAGCCGTAATGAAAAATAGAAATATAGTACATTCCACACTTAAAAGAGATTAAAAATATGCATACGTTTAAAAAAATCAATCTGTCAGAAGCACAAGGAAATATTTGTCTATTTGTTAAGTCTGCAGCTAGCTTGGAAAAAGCAGCAGAAGTAGCTTGTCTTGACCCTGATATAACTGGCAGTAGACTGTATGCAAGATCCCAAGAACAATTGTCTGGTTTATAGAGATGTACCGCGGGCAATGCAGATGCAAAGCAGCAGCATCCATTTTTTCTCCTGGCTGTATATGCTTTTGCTTCCAGATGAGTCAATGCAAAAATTATTTGAAGGAGGAAAAGGCAGCGTGTTCCAGAGAGTGCTTTTATGGATCCCATCTAATAGCCATCAACTTCAGCTCGCAGGAGCATTGGCAGTTGCAAATTTTGCTAGAAATGGTAAGAATCCTCAAGATTAACATCCCAGCATGTTGTTGGTACTTAAAACTAAAGAGCAATTGTGCTCTGACTGTGTATTTGTGCGCACTGCATTTAAAAGAGTCATATACCAGCCTGCCTTATGGAAAGATTTATTTTCCTGTCTTAGAACTTATACAGCACATGATGAAATGTGAAGTCTTCTAAATATAAATTGAGTGGTGAAGTGGTACTGTGAAATAAAGGAGCAGGCAGAATGCCAGTTGAAATTTTGCTTTCAGGATATGTTTTATTAAAAGTACTTTAATGTTTCAGATGGGGTAACAATCTTTTTTCCACTCAGAACTGCATTCAGCCTTTGAATGGCATGCTAGGAGCTACAGTTCAAATGGTTGAAGCCAAGGTGAACAATACATTTGAAATTTGTTCCCAATAATATTTGTATGATTGCTCAGGTGGATTTAATAATTGTTTCCTTCTACCAGTTGTTCCCAAAGTTCCAAACTGGTGACACCTTTTGGAAGAGCTTGTGGGGGTGAAGAATGTAACTTAAAGCTTTCTGAGGACCCATACATTTCTGGAACCTCAGATTGTACACCTTTGGTTGAAGGAGAGAAGGGGATATATATTCACTAAAGAAGAGATACTTCCAAAAAGCAAGCTATGCACAGGCTGGAGCTGGCTGTATATTTAAAGAAGTAACATCTGGACAAAAAGCTCATTTGAAAAATGTGTGCAGACTTAAAGAGGTGCTAGATAAGAACATATAATGCTATTCCAAAGTCTCTTAGTTTTTCAAAGGTTTGCTTCTTCTCTGAAAGGGCCTTCTGTTTTTCTACCTTATTTATAGGGTGCTTGAGGATTTGTTTCCCATTTTTCTTGCTGATGTTTTGAGCTTATTTTACTGTTGGAGGTGGCAGACAGCTAGTGTTGCCTGCTATACCTCTTTCCATCCTTCCAATGCTTTCCAATCTGAAAAAGCTCATTGAGAGGAATTCTTCTAAATGTAAAATCTTTTGATGTGAATCTATTTGGATTTAATGGAAGACTTGAAAAAAGGTTGCAAACCTTTTTTTTAAGTTTAATAATGTACAAAATATACTTTCAAGTTAAGTCTACTGCTGCCTGCCATTGGATAAATTGATGGTACAAAAATGGCCATGGTATTTACATAAAGAAACATGAATTGATGATGGTCTGCTTTCTTCTGTAGATGGAAACTGTATCCATATGGTGGATAATGGTATTGTCCAGAAACTGATGGACTTATTGGACAGGCACGTAGAAGATGGAAATGTCACAGTTCAGCATGCAGCACTGAGTGCTCTCCGAAACCTTGCAATTCCTGGTAAGCACATTAGAGCAACATTCTCAGTAATTCCAAGGTTAGTGGAATGATGCTTTCCTCTATAAATACCATATATACCATCTGCATGTATTTACTGAAAAGAAAACCCCATTTTGTTCTTGCAGCTTGTTATTCTTCATGGTTGCAGTCTTATATTTATTTTTCTAATAGTTACACAACAATGAAATTAAAGAATTACTATTCTCAGTGGGGAGAATAGTATTACTAGTTAAATCAGCCTTTAATAACCTGGTGGTCACCATACCAGGAGGGCCAACATAATTGTCAGATGCCAAGTTGGAAAAGGTGGAGCTAAGCTATCACTTTTCATCTTTTGCATTTATATCTGTAAAAAAAGTAAAAATATTGCCTGACTTGAGTATTTATCTATACTCAATCCTGAAGGAATCTCAGCAGTTCACAGAGATAAATGCATAGTTACAGATTAAAACATAAAATATAGGGATATATAAACACAAACCCCCAAGAACTAGTCTAAAAACTCTGCCCAGAGGACATCACAGCCCAAATGCCTTCTGGAAGACCTCCATTTTGAGCTTCTTCTGAAGAGCAACTAAAGTGGGAGCCAGCGTAATTTCCACTGGGAGGCCATTCCAAAGGACCATTGCTGCCACTGAGAAGCAGCACCTCTGAGCCTCAGCCCCCTTACCTCCCTAAATTGGAGAATCATCATCAGCTTCTCCTGTCAAGATTGAATTAGCCAGACCAATTGTAATGGGAAAATGCACTCCTGTGGATAACCTGGCACCAAGCCTTGGAGGGCTTTATAAGTTAACACCAGCATTTTAAATTGCACCTGGAAACCTACTGGTAACCAGTGCAGGCCCACAGTAGAGGTGTAATGTATTCCCATTTGTGGACCTGCTCATTCAGGGATAATATTACCCCATCAGGAGACATCACTTGAACACATAGATAGACCCCAATGGAGAAACAGCAGCTCATCTTGCTAGGATTCTCTTATCCAGACCCTCACAGCGTCCAGGCACCAAGACAGGCGTCTATTTTGAATACAGTGGGAAAAATGCCAGATAATTACTAAATATTTGTTGTTATTACTGATATAGTATAATATAAACTACTATGATGTTGTTTCCTTAGTTACGATTTAGTGCATTGTGTGAACTCAGCCAATTGCAGCTTATTCAGTAAATGACAGTTAAGCAAACTATGGCTTAGTGTGATGTAAAAGCTTGGCACTGAAATGACTGCAGGAGCTAGTATGTTCATTTGATAATTAGCCAGATCTAATGAGGAATATGGGTTCTTTCAGGGTTTTTTTTTTTAATTGTATGCCAAATGTTTACCCTAATGCTTTTATTTCTCCTCAGATTCCTATTAAAGGTACATTTAGCTCTGAGTGAACTATATGCTTTCTAGGATTATTTTTATACTTTCTAGGGAATCTGAAGGACTGTTAGGATGCCAGGCATATAAGCAAATATTTTATTCAGGTTTTGTTTTTCATCCTCATGGCACTTACACAGTTTTTCAAAATAGCAAGATACTGAGAAGAAATGTAAATGTAATATTAAAATTCCCTCTGAATCTCTTCTAAAAAACAAACATAAGCTTCAGATCTAGGAACCCTCTGCCAGAACAAGCAGCATCTTGTTAGTTCACATTTTAAATGCCAGTTCACTTCTCACTTTTAATTAAAATGCATCCCGAAGCAGTGTCTGTCTCCTGCTTTACACATGGGGGTGGAGTGCTGTGCAGAGATGGAACAGGTGTGGTTACCGTGAACAGAGGAAGAGAGGCACTGTGAGACATGGGGGGAAGACACACGGGCTCTTCACAGTCTAATCTGTGGTGTAATTTGCAAGATATAGTATATAATTTAAGTATGGTAGGTAGAAAGCTCTATAGGCTGGATTCTTGCCCACAAAATAGAACTCTTGCACACACTTATCTATTCTGAGAGATAAGCTGACATACAATATAGAGCTGTTTGCTATGTATTAAGACAGAGCACAGGATAAGACATACTTACAGAAATACGGAATAGCCTAATCTAACACACTAGGATAATATGGGGTCAAACCATGTTGACAAAAGCCATTTCTGCTGTGCTGAATAATGCAAAGAAAAGAAGACTTCAGCTCAGCAACTGTGATTATGAACTTACCTATATGTTTATTACTGAAGTTAATATAACAAGAAGTGCCAGACTAAGTCACAGGTGTAGTCTAAATCAGATGGTGAACTCCTGTAGAGGAGCTGTGCACTTTAGCTGCAGTGAAGCCACTGTTCAAGCTTGGAAAGTAACAGGTTTGGCTTCAGTTCTTTGCCTGTTCCAATCTGCAGTCCAAAGTTATTCCTTTATTCCATCCTTGGTAGGACTGACACTACCATCCATATGAAGAAGCATGTCTTCCAACACAAGCTAGTTCAAGAACACCAGTCAGTGCAAGCTATATTTGTTGACATTCATGAAAAATATGGCATGATCTATTTTTATTTGGATGGCTTTGAGAAGTGTGTGTGTAATGCTCATTCTTATTTTTTTTCTCCTTGCACATTTAAACTGAATACAGGTTACCTTTTTAACTTAATACAGGTTAGATAGATAGATAGATAGATAGATAGATAGATAGATAGATAGATAG